CCTCCTAATTTTCAATCTATTCATACATAAGGCCCTTTGATTTATATGATGTAAGAATTATGCTCTATAATTAACTTGCCATAGCCGTGGAAAACACTACTTTTTAAATAATTTGTCAACTGAAGTTTCTTTCTGTGTACTGTCATTCACCTTTATGGTAGATATTCCTGGTTCCAACCTTTTTCCTGGTCTATGCTGTGTCTTTCCTGAGGATAAAAATATACAAAAAAATAAACAGACAATATTAGTTCCTGTTTTTAGAACATTTTCAATTCAGTCGTATTACTTTAAGCAACCCCCCACAACAGTAACCTTTTCTGTGTAAACTTACCTTTATGGTAAATATTCCTGGTTCCAGATTAATTCCTCATTTATGTTGAATTCCTGAGGATAAATGCACACAAGCATTAACACATTGAAACTTCTGAAAATGTTATCTAAAAAAAAATCAAACAAGTCCAGTTTCACGCACAATACAAGGGTGTAAAATGTTAAAATCTGAATTTGGCAGCCACTCCATTGGAGAACCACTTACCACCATCATGTTTGCAAGGATCACAGTCACACCAGTCTTCATAGGCTTTACATTCCCTTTATGGGCCCTGCCCAAGCCCCGGCGATCCAAGATGGCGCCCTATTCAAATGAATGGTTGTGCTCAGTGGCGCTTTGTGACGGGGCATGGGGGCTGAAAGATTAGCGGAAGTTGCCTGAAACTCTCAAAGATCTATGGGAAACTCTCAAAGATCTATGGGAAACTCTCAAAGATCTATGGGAAACTCTCAAAGATCTATGGGAAACTCTCAAAGATCTATGGGAAACTCTCAAAGATCTATGGGCCACTCTCAAAGATCTATGGGAAACTCTCAAAGATCTATGGGAAACTCTCAAAGATCTATGGGAAACTCTCAAAGATCTATGGGAAACTCTCAAAGATCTATGGGAAACTCTCAAAGATCTATGAGAAACTCTCAAAGATCTATGGGAAACTCTCAAAGATCTATGGAAACTCTCAAAGATCTATGGGAAACTCTCAAAGATCTATGGGAAACTCTGCAAGATCTATGGGAAACTCTCAAAGATCTATGGGAAACTCTCAAAGATCTATGGGAAACTCTCAAAGGTCTATGGGAAACTCTCAAAGATCTATGGGAAACTCTCAAAGATCTATGAGAAACTCGCCTGTATTTGGGCATCGTCTGGTCCTCCCGGTTCTGTGCAGTGGATGATCTCCCATAATGCATTGCGCCAAACACGCGTGTGTGGGTCTCACACCGGGTCTCACGCACGTGCACAGAGGGTCTCACGCACGTGCACAGAGGGTCTCACGCACGTGCACAGAGGGTCTCACGCACGTGCACAGAGGGTCTCACGCACGTGCACAGAGGGTCTCACGCACGTGCACAGAGGGGCTCGGCCGCGCTCTGACCAATCAGAGCAGTTCATCAGAGCGGGAGTTAGAGCGAGAGCCAGAGGAGCAGAGTTTGTGGCACTAAAGTGTGGATTTAAACAAAACCGAAGGATTTAAGAAGAAAAAAAGTTCAGGACGACAAGGGACACTAACATCCCCACAAAATCTGACCTTTATGAAAGCTGTAGGTTCTCTGTCAGGTTCTCTGTCAGGTTCTCTGTCAGCTGAGGTTGAGCTGTTTTAATTTGCATTGAGTTCTATGGGGAAAATTTCTGGGTAGCCCACGTGAATTTAGTCTGGTTCAGTCTGCAGTACCGCGAGAATCCCCTGAGCACGCGAGTTATTCAGCTACAAGCTAGTAATACCCTATCCAGTTAATATAATACATCCATGGCCCTGCCCCACAATTTGTGAACCACTCTTAACACTTTCAATGTGGTCCTGTTAAAAAGTGCGCTTTATGTCTCATCATTTAATATAAACTCCTTATGGGCCATTGAAATACAGCAGATAATATTCATGATAGCATTGGGTGGTAGAGGTCAGCAAGACAGCAAGAGGGCGAAAAGGCTTTTGACTAGTTTTGAAATACTTAAGTTTTGAGTAGGACTGGGCGATAAATCTAATTAATTCAAGCTTTTAAAAACAGACGATGTGGAAAATGGCTAAACCGTAAAATCGTGTCCGCCGCTGCATGTCCGACTGACGAGCGCCGTGCTGCCATTTAGCAGCGTTTCAGACGCTCCGTAGCGACTCTTTTCGAAAATGACACCAGTGGAACCAGCCTGCAACTTTCTAGAGCTCTCTGTTGCTTTATAAAGGCCGCGCATTCTCTTCTTTGTGCGCGAAAGAGTTTTCTTCGCTAAAACAAAGCTTCCCCCCGGTCTGCTTCTCTCCCCTTCTCTAACGCTGAGCCGCTCTGAGCTGCTGCAAGAAATTAACTCCGCCCCTTCCCCTTGAGTCTCCATGGAGACGGTTGTCAATCACAGCTGAGGTCTAGGATGATAAAACTAAAGGCTTATTAAGAAGCTTTACTTCTTAATAAGAGAGCAGACAAGTTTAGTTCAGTTCTTCAGTATTATGTTTGCTAATCTTTTTTTATTTGTTATTTATTTAATTGGTAAATTCATAGTGGAAAATTATGCTAAAAATATTCAATTGCATCTGTGTTAATTTGGTAAATTAATCATATGAATAAGATTATTTTAAGAGCTAATTTGTAGTTAAAAAACTCCGCATTGTGTCTTTATGCAAATTAGTGTGCACCGAGGAGCAGAAAGGAGTTTGGAGCGACACACGTTATACAAGGGAAACTAACTTCGTAACCAATGTGGCTGCTTTGTGCACCGTGTGGACACCGCTGGTTACCGGTCTATGCCAGGGTCATAAACAGCAGAGTTCACCGCCACAGTGAGGCCGTTTGCGGCGGCAGATTAGAGCTAGCGCTAGCTACACCGTGGACTCGCCCGAGTGTAGAGCGGCCGCTGGTAAACTCTAACCGCGCTGCTCCGCTGTTTTAAATCGAAAGGAGTGATGTTCGTGTCTGAAAGTTGCCTTTACCGTCGTGTACCCCTCATGCTAAAAGCAGCAGCAGCATGGTAACATTCGTGGTGTGGAGATTCACTACCAGTCAGAGACTGACAGAGATAGGCCACTTTGTACCTTATTAAATGAGAATCAACAAAAATGGAGAGAAAAAAATATGCTGAACCCCATTTTCAGTAGATTGAATTAGCGTGCGCATTTGCGTAATGTAACATAAAACCATCGCTTGAAGTTAAAATACAAAGATTTAACTCACCAATTTGCGTGTGTATTCGAGGAAAATTACTCTCTATCGACTGTAGACTGAAGAAAAAAAAAGTCCAAGCCCAGGCAAAACCATCAAAAACGACTTTTCTTGAAATTTTCTGACAAACAAGTCCAGACGTCTCCTCGGTTCCAGTGGCGGGTAAAAAATGGGAGGGGCTATGAAAACTTAAAAATGAAAAGCGCTTTAAACTTAACACAATTAGTAATAATGTAAATAACTTTTATTATTTAAGTGTTTCCTTTATAACTCATTCTCTTATAAAAAATTGAACTCAAACTATATTTTAGAATAAACCTAAAATGTTAAATGTATTTATTCAAGTGCATCACATGCAAAACAATATAGGTTAAGTGCATTAGGCTTCTACCAATGAGTTCTGTCAGTTATATGATTTTAGTTTTACAAAGAAAATGAATTACCATAAGTGATTATAGCTAAACCATTTGAATGCAATTAACTTTTGGGTTAACAGTTATAGGCCATCAATTGACTTGTGAATTTTCGGGGTTAACTTGAGGTGATACCTGACCTCATCCCAGAAGATGGTATATATCGTCTGGTATATAGTGTGTTCAATATAACATGTCATCAAGTTGTGCAGTTAGAACACGTTGCTAATACTGCACAACTTTTCGCACTTTTGTAACGCTGATCCAGTATCAACTCCCAGGGTGATGACTGCAAGTTAGGCCTCAAACCCATAATATTTTAAAACATATCCTGCCAACAGCTTTGAGGGACTCAAAATTGTTTAAAAAATGTAAAGAAAAATTAACCCTTTCCAGGCCGCGCATCAACGTGTTTTCGGCCTCGAAGTCAGGGTTCACGGTCTCGGGCGCTCTGATCATCCATGGCGCGCAACGCGAGGCCTTAAGGGCCTTGAATGTACACAATACTGATTTAAAACATAAAATACACATTTGGTAGAACAATGTTTTTGTTCCTCCTGTGGACTCACCACCTGCAGAGGGTCAGTGAGGGGCTGGTGCTATGAGACTTGGGTGGCATCTCTGACTGCCACCCCCCTGACCCAGAAATGGATTAAAGGGTAGAAAATGGATGGATGTGTTGTGGAATTTCTGCACATAACAAGAGTAAAATAATGTAAACAACCCAGAGCTGTAATTCCAAACAAAGTGTGAGTTTATTCATTAGTAAATGTGCACAATTACAATGAATAACAGAACCGATACCAATACCACCGGGCAGACATGTACTAATTTAAACGTTAATCTCCAAACATGATGTACTAATGTAAATATTAATCTCAATATGTTTCGGACCCTGGGAGGATAGATCGAGCGGACCCACATAGACCAGCGCTTTTCTACGCTGAGCCAAGTGCTTATCCCATTGGTTTGAGGCCTAGTTAGGCCTAGGTAGGCCTCAAACACGCATAAGATTTGTAAAATATCCTTTAATATAACAGCTTTGAGGGACTCAAAATGATTTTTAAAAAAAATGCTTCTGGCGGGATTCGATCCCGCAGCACCGGCACCGGTGCGCAACGCCGTACCCACTCGACCACCCGTAACGTGTGATGAACGTGTTTTTTATTTTGGCTCCGCTTACCGCAGATGAGGCCTGAACATCCCAAACTTCAGAATCCTATGCAAAAATCGGGATAAAAGGCAAGTTCATGTTGAATTTATTCATAGATTCATTTTATAATATAATTCTAATTTATTAAAATCATTTTTGTACAGTTAACGCCCCTTTCTGCTCAGTTATTCAGCGGAGTTGAAAGAGGCGTTTTTATGACTTTTTGTCGTTTCAACATGGAGGTCAGTACGCGTTTATTACACAGTCGGTTTAACAATCAAAATATCTTTGTAAACATTCATAAATACAATGCTGAGTGGTTATCTCGGGTTAGTGGGCTGTGCACACGGAGAACACACGGCGGCTCTCCCTGTTCGAGCTCTGTGCAATCTCCATAGACGAGGCCTTGCCGTTGATACAAGGCCCCACGGAGATTCACGTTTTTTGGTCACGGGGTGCAGCAACGTCATTATTTATAATAATAATTATTCTTATCATTTTCTCTTTATTGTGTAACAGGATGGAAACTGTGCGGCATTTGCTTCAGCCAAGCATTATATCTCAGACAGCACCTGGTGCGTATTCATAAGGTGGCGAACAAGGAGGAGCTACACCTCCTTCTAAAATATGGTAGTGCACGGTGAGTGCACGCACGCACACACACACACACACACACACACACAGTAATAGATCCATGAGCCCAGCGCGGAGCTGTGTAAGATAGAGACCAGGTGTTGATTTATTTTCATTCTCCTAGGACCACGGCTGTGCTTGACTGTCCGTGCTGCGTGAAAAAGGGTGTGGTCCGCCTAGATAAGCACCTGCAGGACCAACACCAAAAGACCTCCTCCGATGTAAATTGCTTTTATCAAATCCATATGTTTCAATATGTGTCCAAACAATATGTTTTGGTTCGTAGGAGCGTGCTGCCCTCCTGCGAGAGGCAAAGCGCCTCGCCATCATCAAGGAGCTGAGGGACCTGAGGCTCTCAGACCCCTCAGTGCCCCTGGTATCTGAACTGGACCTTGGTAAGAACCAAAACAGTACTTTTAACTGTTGTTGGATATCTGGAAATATATAAATAATTTATAAATTGATAACACCTATGTTAATTCATGGATAATATTTGTAATGAAAAAACTTTTTTTATTTACATTATTGAATCAGATCAACTCAACGACAACCCGCTGATGGAGATGGATGAGGCTGGTGAGTGTTTATTGCTTTTGATAGTAGTCGTTTTTTTGTTTTTTTTTTTTTTTTAAATCCTAGCCCGGAGTTATCGAGTGAGAAAAAAAGCTATGCCTCACGGTTGACCCTGGCCTGGTCTTATTGCCAGAGAATCCCGCCTCGCTTCCCTGTGCAGGTGGACTTACAGGTGCGAGCTCCTGGGGAGGTGACCCAGGGGGAGGGGAGCGACCCGGGGGGAGGCCCGGGTACTGCAGGACTTGGCCTCTTTAAAAGTGGCCTCACCTGCTAAAAAAAACTCACTGAGCTCCTTTGAATGGGCTTAGGGATGTGCCTACAGTGCTTCAAGAAATGTGGTCCAGTTTTCCTTCGTCAGATCTACCAGGTCGATTTGTGACATATTTTGGGCTTTTGCATCTTCTTCGATTTGTCTTATCCATTGTTTCCTTTGTCCACCTTCTTGTTTTTTCCCTTTTGGCTTCCAGTCAAGAATGATTTTTTGTATTCTTGAGTCTTCCATTTTTCGTATTCTTTGCCAGAATTTCATTCTTCTTTTTGCAATAATACTCAGGATTTTAGAGCATTTGCATTTTAGTCTCAGCTCTTCAGATGTAATGTGAGCGCTGGTGTGAATACCAGTTATCCTTTTCAGCATTCGGTTTTGAAATGCTTCAAGCCTCAGCTTACTGTCCTTCTTAATGACCCATGTCTCTGATCCATACAGCAGGACGCTCAGCACCAAGGACTGGTACAGAGACACTTTTGTGTCTAGTTTACTTACTAGTGTACTCTGAGGAGCTCCAGATCATTGTAAGTTCTGCTGCTCTTCTACCAGAGTCTGCGATCTTCTGCTTTATTTCTCTTTGGTGGTCACCATCGCCTTTTATAATTTGACCCAAATATTTGAATTCTTCCACAATGTCATAGTTTTTTATTGTTTCTGAACTCTCTGTGTCCCACACTAATGGAGCACTTCTTTTGACCCTTCCAGCAGTGCACCATCTTGATTTGTGAGTTTTTAGGCCCAGATCAGTATCAAAGGATCTCTGACACTGGTCACACCGGAAGAGAGGGTCATGTTCTTTCCTTGTTTGTGCTTCCACTGTCTTCTTACACCACCTAGTCTGATGTAATACTAGTCCGCGTGATGTAGAAAAGATTTTTTTGCAGGAATTACAAATGTATTCATCAGCTTTTCCAGATGCATCCTCTGAGGTTCCTTTTGCGGTCCTTCGGTGGTTCCTTGTACGGTTCCTTTTATGGTTCCTTCAGTGGTTCCTTCGGTGGTTTCTTTGATGGTTCCTTGTACGGTTCCTTTTGTGGTTCCTTCAGTGGTTCCTTCGGTGGTTTCTTTGATGGTTCCTTCCGTAGCCTTATTCCTGCAGAAGCGGGCCTCATGCACAGCTTTGCCTCGTTTGTTTTTAAATTTTGCACCACAGAATTTGCAGCAGTTTTCATCCTTTGAGTCGTCCTCATTGGTGAATATAGACATTGTGCCAGTGGCACCAGTAGTCCCAAATTTCATGATTTTTGTTTTGCTGTCATTGATTTGTAAACCAACAAGTTCAGCAGTTTCTTTTAGGGAGCGCACAACAAGATCTAAATCATCTGTTGATCGCGCTACAATTGCAATATCATCAGCAAATTCCATGTCACTTATAACTGTTCTGTCACTTCCAACTTTAACAGATATGCATTGGTCCTGAAGTGTTCCAAGTGAGTGTTTAATCACCCAGTCAAGAACTACAATAAATATTAAGGGACTGAGGATGCATCCTTGTTTCACACCCTTCATCAGTGGGAACTCCTTACTCAGTGAGTTCTTCCATCTAACCGTAGCCTTTGGTCTTTCATAGATGTTCTTCATCAGATCAATATAGTCATCTGGGAGTCCATATGTAGCGAGTATCCTAAACATTTGGTCTCTTCCAACTGAATCAAAAGCCTGTCTGAAGTCAATGTAGCAGCAGTACAGAGAGGACTGGAAAACACTAGATTTTTTGATGAGTTGGTTTAGGACGAACAGCTGGTCAATTGTGGATCTTTTAGCGCAAAACCCACATTGATTTTCTCTCAGATGGTTGTCAATATTCTTAAGAACTCTATTTTTGATTATTATTAACATAGTTTTTCCTACCACACTTAGTAGTGAGATTGGTCGATAATTACTACAATCACTGGCAGATCCTTTCCTTTTATAAACTGGTATAATGATAGATTTCAACCAGTCTGCCGGAACATTTTTTTTGCGCCAAACCTCTCTACAGATTAGAAGTAGAGTTTCAAAAACGGATTGTCCAGTCTTCAGTTGTTCAGCGTGTATCTCATCTACTCCAGCTGCTTTTCGAGGCTTTAGCTCCTTAAGTGCCTTTTGTAGCTCCTCTTCGTTGATGTCGTCAGTGTTATACAGACATTGTACTATGTAAGTTTCATTGATTAGCTCAGTAAACTTGTCTTCCATCTCCTGTGTCAGTTCCTGTGCCTCAAAGACTTTACTGAAATGGTTTTCCCAGTCCAATGGTGTTAAGTCTGAGTGGGTGTTGTCTTTGATGCCAACAATACTTTTTGTGATTTTATACAGCTCATGGCTATCGTGCAAGTCCGCTGCCAGTTGAGCATTTTGTGCTTCTCTTTGGAGCCATTAATTTTTGTCTTTCTCTATGCTTTTCTTTATTTTTTTCCTCAGTTCATCATAGTCTTTTTGGAATTTGGGATTATTTACTAACTTCGCTTTGCACTCCTTCCTTTTCCGAATAAGATTGGTTGTTGCTTCTGTTATCCAGTTTTGGGATTTCCGGGATATTTTAGGTACACTAATCTTTGTAGCATTTTTTATTGCTTTTATGAATTTGTCATATTTTTCATTAATTGTATCTTCTTCCTTTAGTTGTTGTTCTTGCAAAGAAGCCTCAAATTCATGATTGTATTTACTTGCATATGCTTCATTTGAGAGTTTTGCGAAATCATAAAAGACTGATTTCACTTTGCCTTTCGGCGGGGTGAATCTCATTGTAATCTTCATTTTTGCTATGACAAGATAATGGTCTGTGTCGATGTCTGCTCCTCTGTAGGCTCGACAATCCTGTACGTATCGGACATCTTTACTTTTTATCATTATGTGGTCAATTTGCTTTTTTGTCTTCCCATCGGGTGAAATCCAGGTACCCAAGTGGGCTGTTTTATGTCTGAATTTCGTTGAAGTAACATAAAGATTGTTTTCGCGGCATAGAGTGATCAGTCTCTCTGCATTGTTATTGCACTTGCCATTTAAGGTAAAACGGCCCACGACATCTATATTACATTCTTCAAATGTGCCCACGTGGGCATTAAAATCACCAAGGACCAATTGGACATCTGTGTCACATACTTTGTCTAATTCCGATTGCAGCAAGTGGTAAAAACTGTCCTTATCTTCAGGATCGCTTACATCCGTCGGGGCATATATAGCTATAATAGAAATTTTCCGTGGCCTGGTGTTCAGTCGGATACGCATTAGTCGATCACTCACAAGGTTTACAGTGGTAACATATTTCTCTAATTTGTTTTTAACAAATATTGCTACTCCATTGCTTCCGCCTTTTTCATTTCCACTAGATAGGATCTTGAATCCATTTTTCATGTACGATTCTTTACCAGCTTTCCTTGTTTCGCTGATGCATAAGATGTCTATATCATAGTTCTTCATTTCTTCAATCAATGCTTCTTCTCTTCCGGGTTGTCTTAGGGACCTAACATTCCAGCAGGCGACTTTTTGTAGTTTTTTAATACTAATTTTAGATTTACGGGCCTTCTTATTCCCAGATGCCACAGCATCGTCGCCATGAGGCAAGTCATTATTGTGATCACTTAGAATAAGAAGTTTGTTGCTCGCCAGCCTCTGGGAGGTAGTTTTAGACTGTGCTATACAGGTTGGCTGCTTCCTGTACCACTGTCTATCTATAATGTTTTCTGTAACTTGAAGCGTCCCTCCTCAGGGGTTGTCAGCCCCAGAGCAGGTCTGTCCTGTAGACAGGTGTGTGGCTGGTGTACTGCAGAAGTCGCCGGCTCCTACAGCCAGAGCCCCGTTTGCCATCGGGTCATGACCCCAGGGGGGTTGGGGTACGACCCAATGCCCATAGTGCACCACGTGGAGGTGGGGTTGGTTTTGCACTACTGGTGGGAGGTGAGGGGATGGAGGAGGAGGAGGATCAGGCCATCGCCGGCCCTTCTCTCTCTGGTGAGTATTTAAGTAAGTAAGTAAGTAAGTAAGTAATGTTTATTTATATACCGCCTTTCACAGACCAGAGTCACAAAGCGGTTTACAATTGTTATTTTTGGGCATTTGTCTCTCACTCCACACAGAGATGGGAGCGGGGTCGCCGAACAGGAGGCACATGCCAGACCTATTGGACATATTTTTAGTGGTAGGGGAAACCGGAGTACCCGGAGGAAACCTACGCAGACACAGGGAGAACATGCAAACTCCACTCAGAAAGGCCCTGGTCCGACCGGGATTCGAACCCAGGACCTTCTTGCTGAGAGACGAGAGTGCTATCCACTCTGCCACCGTGCCGCCCGCGACAACTCTTGATAGTTCCTACTCCTCATACTGTCCTCATAAGAAGACAGGTAAAGCTTTTCTTCTGTTGTGATTCAGGGCTATACAAGAATAAATTGTATTGTATTGTTTTGTACCACTGCTACTAGTGCTATTACTACTACTACTACTTCTACTGCTACTACTACTACTATTACTACTATTCCTACTATTCCTACTGAGTAACACCTAACAATGTTATTGCGTAGGGTTATTGAAATGTTGAATCATGGAGTACATTATTTTTAATAAAGGGACTTCATACCACATGGACCAGGAGAGACCGGGTCCATCTGTCAGTTTGGAGGCATTCCAGAGGCTGGAGGCCCGCCTCACCAGTCTGGAGCGCTCCCACGCCCTTCTTTTAAAGAAGTGGCGGTCCCTCCAGGCTGCCCCGGCTCCCGTGGCCCCCACGTCTGCTCAGAAGGGGGAGCACGTGGGCAAGCTACAGAACGCCGACTTCCTGTATGGTAAGTTGGTTACTAATAGTTCTGGACCATGGAGGGAAATATTCAAATATTGTCATCCTTTTTTCTAAAAGTCAATTTGATTTTATTGCAGAATCCCTCATTGAGGATTACAGACTGTTCCGGCTCAGGGCGCGGACCAGGCCAAAGGACCTGGACAACGCCAAGCAGTCAGCCAGCCACTCCCTGAGGTTCTGCCGGTACATGGCCCAGGGAGTGGCGGCTGACTGCCTGACCAGGAGCGTCAGGTTCCTGAACCGCCTGGACCACCTGCGTGGGTGAGTATTAGTCTGCTATCTTTGGATGAAGAATTAGGTAACTCTACATCTTGTTTAATATCACTAAAATTGGTCCAAGAAAATTTGCCATTTAGTTAGGATTTTCTTGTGAAAGTGAATGGTGATAGATTTAAAAATTCTGGAAGATTTATATGTGGTAACCTGTCTGTTTTTTTACACAGATACCCGACGTACCTGGTCAACAAGGGGTACAAGAGTACCACGATCAAAAACATGATTACTGATTACCAATGTAATCATGTTCCTGCGCCATGTGGGCAAGCGCTTCCCGCGCAAGACCCGCCTGAGGCCCGCTGAAGCCACAAACATTGAATACGAGCTTCAGCGGATCCAGCGGGACATTCAGCGGGAAGTGCTTGTCCACAGGCAGAAGGTCCTGAAGAAGTCAGGTAAGGCTTTTCCTGTCTTATATGGGTAACACCACTGCTACTAGTGCTACTACTACTACTACTACTACTACTGCTGGTGATGCTACTACTACTGCTACTACTGATAACACTTATACTACTACTACTACTAGTACTAAATTATTGAGCAGTCCGAAATGGTGAAATGTCACAACAGGTCCAAATAGGGATGTGGTTTTCACTAGTGTTACGCCAGTTCCATTCTTTTCACAGCCAACCAGCTGAACGCCACCGACAGCATCACGTTTTTGGCAAGGGCCAAAACAGCCATTGGCGAAATTCTCTGTAAGTAGAGTACATTTGTGATTGTTTTTCATTTTCATTCCAAGAAATGAATACCTCGTGTTGTTGGGGTGTAGGCCGAGAGGATCCCGATGAGGTCCATGGCCTGGGGATGGGCTACATCTTGGGTTACCTGGCCATCGTCACAGGCCACCGGGCGGTGGTCTTCCACCACACGACCAAGGAGTCGGTACACAATGCCGACTCCTGGAAGTCAGGAACCCGCTTCCAAGTGTTGGTCAGTCATATTATGTACCATTCAGAAAGTAATTACAAAGGTTGTTAATTATATTAGCGAGTTGTGGTTTCTTATCAGGTCCTCATAAACACTCTTGTACTCACACACAGGTCTCCCTTTTGGCCGAAATTGCCTCTAGAGATCTAAAATTTTGGCAGATTGTAGCCTTGGTCGGTGCAATACCGGGAAAAACAGGGGCGAGTTCTATTTCCCACGCTTGGTTTCTTATCCATCAACAGATTTTTGTTTTGTTTTCCCCCAAGGTGGACGACCACAAGACGACAAAAACCTTTGGGCAGGCCTCCATTCTCCTGGATCGCCAGGAGTATAACTGGCTCCGCCTCCTGGCCACCGGGGCCTTCTGTCAGGAGGAGTGCAGCGAGGCGGAAAATATATTTCATACTAGATCTGGAGCCCCGATCAGACAGGGCACCGAAATAATGAACAGGGCGTGGGCAGCGGCTGGACTGAGGGGGTCAATTAACTTTAATAAGATCCGGAGCAGCGTGGCCACACAGGTAACATCTTGATTCATGCGTGAAATTGACTGCAGAGTTGAATTGTGTTTTTTGATGTTTATTCATGTTTTCTGTTTGTAAGGCCAATGAGCAGCTCACAGAAAAGGAGCGGCGGAGGGTGGCCAGGGCCATGTGCCATGACCCTGCCACGGCCTCCAAATTCTATGTTGTCCTCCCCAACGGGGAGAGGCAATACCAGGACAGGCTCCTCAGAATGAAGGCCCTCTGTCTGGCCTTCAACACCAGGCCAGACAGGCACACCAGGCCAGCCGTGTCAAGCAGCTCAGAGTCAGAGGGACCTGAGCCGGTGTACCAGGACTCGCCCGACTCCTCCGGCTCTGAGCTTGCCAGCCCTGAGCCAGCCCCCTCCAGCCCAGCGGACGACCCCTCCAGTCCTGAGCCAGACCGCTAGGGTTAGGGTTATACAAAGTCACTGTCCCCCGAAGAGTACAGTAAAATTCACGGGCCCTCTCCCCGACTCTGGACCAAGAGGATGTTCCTGGACACTGGCAACCACCATGATGGCCGCCATCTTGTGTCCAGGGGGTTCAAAAAATTGCTCTATAGTAGAGTGTATGTGTAGAAAAATTGTAGGCGCTACGTTTCGACAGCTTCTTGTGTCTTCTTCAGGCGAGTTCTACACTGACTGGAGGCACTCTGTTCGGTGTCCTCTTTTATATAGTGTACAGCAGGCATGTCAAAGTCAAATACATCAGAGGGCCAAAAGAAAATGTTTGCTACGCGCCGAGGGCCGGACTGGTTCAATGTTTCTCAACATCCAGAGGCAGTGCCGGTGACACCTGTTGGCTCGATAAAATATGCTCTAAAGCCAATCCTCATACTGTACATATTAGATGTAATAGACATCTGAGAACATGAAAATAGTAAAAAAAAAAAAAAATCTCAAACTTGGTGAAATGTAAAAGAGCAGTCTGGACCTCTTTTCGGGGAGTTTTTTGATTAAATCTGCAGAATGGATTATACTTTGGGAAATACAAGTGGATATTCTTCTTCAATAGACAGTTACGGAGAGAAAGCGACTAAGCAAGGATGGGGAAAGTCTAATTTGTTGGAGCAGCAGAAGACGAAAGGTAAAAAACAAATGCAGACGTGATTTATTTTGTGCCCATATTATGCGTTATATCTTTTTAATGCAAAGTCTGATATCGTTTACACTTACATATAAATATAGCTGAGAAAATAAGCTTTAAAATGCTATTGCCAGCAGATGTATTTTTTTCCTTGTTTGCTCCCGCCGGCGGGGGCTAGCGAGCTTAAGGGGTCAATACATTGCCTCAATGGCAGGCAATGTCCCGGGGGCCATAGATAATTCATTCGCGGGCCGGATTTGGCCCGCGGGCCTTGACTTTGACACATGTGGTGTACAGGTTTTGCCCCCCCCACTCTTGTTGAGTATAAAAAATTGTAATAAATGAACTGATTTAGTTTCTAATTAATGTCTTCCTGTGACTGGTTAAGTTTAGGGCTGTTCCCCTCTATGGTTAAGGCTAGGGCTAGGAGCTAGGCTAGACTTTAGCTCTACTCTACTATGGCCACAATCTTGACAGTAGTCCAAGTGCGCATTTTGGCTGGTTGTTTCCTGCACAACAAGAAAATCAATTGCGATTTGCATATTGTTTCCACGTTTCGTGTGAAGTTTGTTTTAAGCAGTCCACTGCTCCTGTGAAACTACACTGCTGCTGTGTGATCGCTGTCCCTGAGTTGACTGCTGCAGACGTCAGGCCCATGACGCGTCTGTGACTGGTCTGTCGGGTTGATAATGGAAAAAATAAATTAAATTTTATGCATGTATCATACTGTATTCAATATGATTAACAATAGTGTGTTCAAACAAAATATTTAATTAGATCGAGTTTTTTCCCCATTCTGGCGGGTTTGTGCGCATTCGCAAGTCAGATTTGGGCACACTAGCAGTGTAGTTCCACAGGAGCAGTGGACTGCTTAAAACAAACTTTACACGAAACTCTTCCTCTTAAAACACACATATCACAACGCAGAACCATCAACATCTCGCCTCAAGTTGCATTAAAAGTGACATTCGTGTCTTAATTCGTTCATATTTAACTTTTAAAGTAATTCGCGGACTACATGTCCGCCATCTTTGATTGCTTCGGCTGCCGTGAGACGCGCAGCGCTGGTTTGCATTACATCATTAACAGCTGAGCCAGATCATCTCGACGGGCAGACCAACTCCACAGAACACCGGGAATATGTCTCTGAACACTGCTACAGTTAGCTACATTCACCGCTGTCCTCAGTAAACTCTGAGCGGCTCTGAACACGGCCAGTCACTGCATTCACCGCTGAGCTGGTCGAACAGTTTTATAAGATAATATAGTCGAATGTGTACACGTTCTTAACACACTTCTTTAGCTTTATACATTTAGGGTTAGGGTTCTGTAAGGGGACCGTGTTGGCACGGGCCCTCTCCCTGCTGCCTGACCAATATCGGGTCCCACGGCCCCGGCGGTCACCGCTGTGGCCCTGCAGGCGCCACCGTTGACCCAAGGTCCGTCATACGCCATACTCCCAGCCTAACTGTAGGGTATGTGGTAAGTAGGATGTAGACACGTGAAACGACGTTTCGACCGTTTAGGTCTTCCTCAGGTGTTGTGTCTACGAGTGAAGCGAGCGAATGAATGAGTGAGGAGGGTCAGAGCCGCTCCTGATATAGCTGGGCTCCGCCCCCTGCGTCTCCATTGGCTCATTTCAGAATTCAAAAATGGAGAAACTTAAATCATGTAATTTTTAACTTGAACAAGGTTGTTTTTAACTTAAAAAAATAATAAATAATAAAGAATGATGAACTTTAGAATGTTTTTAACATGAACTTTGTTGTACTTGAATATTTTTATAGAAGGTTTTTTGAAGGTATTTATTATTTTTTTCTTTTTTATATATATTTTTTATTCTTTTTTTGTGTGCACCACTTGTGCTACAGGTTTTAATCCCTTTTTTTCATGTGATTTCTCTTTTTAGAACAAAATAATTTAAATAACTGCATCCAGTGTGATAACCCCGTCCTGTTCACTTCCTGGTTTGCTCCGGAGGTCCAAGTAAGGGTGAGGGTAGGGTGTAGGGTTAGGTAAGTCCTAGGGTTAGGTTTAGGCAAGGGTCTAACTGGTTAAGTTTAGGGTTATGGTTAGGTGAGGGTCTAATTGGTTAAGTTTTAGGTGAGGGTCTAACTGGTTAAGTTTAGGCAAGAGTGTAATTGGTTAAGTTTAGGGTTTAAGGTTAGGGCTGGGGTCTAGTTAAGTCCATGGAGTGTCTTTGTTCCCAGTAATTTTATCCAGTGACTGGCTCTGTCTCTCCTCTCTGTGTCTGTCCAGGTACAATTAGCCTGGAGTCCAGACAGCTCCAGTGCCTCCAGGCCGTGTACCAGGAAGTGAGACAGGCAGAGTGAGGAGGAGGAGGAGGAGGCCTCCCTCCTCTCCAGTGCACCCCTGAGTCTCCCCACGTGTTCCCCAAGTGATCTCCCTGTTTCTCCCACATACTGTAATTTACACTTCTTGCACCTAATCAAATAGACCACATTATGTGTCTGTAGGCCAAAGAACTGGGTCACTTTATAAAGGACACTCTTAGTCGTGTTGTGAACAAAAGTCCTTCGGATCAGAGTGTTCCCCTCCCTGTTGGGGGGTTCTGGTTCCTGGAGCGGCTTGAGTTTGGCTGTGACCAAGCGGTCCTTCAAATTTCTATTCCTCCTGTGTGCTGCAATGAATCTATGATTTGGTAAAAGTCCCTGTGTGTGAATGAATCTGTCATAATTGTCCCTGAGTCTGGGTCTCAATAACAGTGCGGTCTCTGAATAGGTGGAGATGAACGGGACCACCTCACCCTGGGGTTTGTCCTTCCTCTCCTCAAATGTGGAGAGGCAGGTTCTCAGGAAGGACCTGGAGTATCCTCTCTTCCTCAAAGCCCTGAACAAGGTATGTACTGCCTCTCTAAAGTCCTCGTCCTGTGTGCAGATGCGTTTGAATCGGATTCATTGGGATTTGACTATTCCAGCAAATATGTGTTTGGGATGGTGACTTGTCTTGTAGAGGAGGGCATGTGTGTCAGTTTCCTTGAAGTAGACTTTCAGATCTAATTTATTTGACTGATCGCATAATGGTCCTTTGAATACTGTTGTGTCCAGGAAGTCTATACTGTGGGGGCTAACTATGTGTTTAAGTTTAATCGAGGGGTCAATTGAGTTTAATTTGTTTATAAATGTTTCAAATTCCTTTTGTGAGTGTGTCCAGATGCCGAATATGTCATCCAGATACCTGTAGTAGGCGAGTGGCTTCCTGGGGCATTCACCTAAGGCCCTCTCTTCCCAATGTGCCATAAATATATTGGCGTAGGAGGGAGCAAAGCGTTTCCCCATGGCCGTTCCCTTGATTTGTAAGTAAAATTGTCCGTCAAACTCAAAGTCATTCCGTCTCAGGTTGATGTCCAGGAGCTGGAGGAGTTCTGAGTCTGGTCTGGTCGGGTCTGGGTATCTGGTCATCATGTTTTTTACTGCCTCAAGTCCTGCTGGGATGTCAATGTTTGTATATAAGGAGTCCACGTCCATAGTAAACAAAAAGGAGTTTTTTGGAATTGTAATGTTTTTAACTAATTCTATAAAATGATATGTGTCTTTCAAATAGGACGGGTGTCTGGTGGACAGAGGGTGGAGGTAATGCTCCAGGAACTGAGCCGTCCCATACGTCTCACTGGAACAGTCCGAGACGATGGGACGTCCCGGTGGGATCTGGAAGGGGATCGTCCACTTCTCTGGCTCCTTGTGGATCTTGGGCAGAATGTAAAAGAGCCTGGCCCTAGGCTCTTCACTCCCTCTCAGGTATTCTTTTTGTTTGGAGTCTATGTAATTTTTAGCTTGTAGTGAGTCCAGGATGCTGTCTACTAAGGGTCTTGTTTCAAAATAGATGGGGGAGTCCAATTTAGTGTAATAGGTGGTGTCTTTTAATTAATTGTCTGTTCACTTCAAATGTGTACTGGTCTCTGTCCAATATGACCGTAGCACTGCCTTTGTCTGCTGGCTTAATAACAATGGGCCTCATTCACGAATAACTTCGTAAGAAACTACTCAACTTTCTTCTCAAGTTGTCCTTAAGTAGATTTCTAAGAAGTCCCCACGTGGGATTCATCAACGCACTCGTAAGGCGCTGAATTGTTCGCAGCTGTTCTCTCAGATTGATGAATCCCATTTCCTCGTAAGTACAGCGCGCGTGCCAGGTGCTTCATTAGCATAGGTACTTAGCATAAGTAACCGCCCACTAATGCCCATATAAGGGACTGCAGGGCCGTGTGCAGACGGCAGAGGAAACAGCAACAGGCCTAAAGCAAAGAGTTACACGGAGCAAAAGAGTCACCCTTTTTTCTTCTTTTACCAGACTGAGAATA